TTTATTGTAAAAAATATAATTAACACACTATTAACACCCTAATATACATATAGAAAAAACTTAATGTAAAATATCAAAATCTTAATGAATTGGCAGTAACAGTGTACACCATACAGATCAGACGACTTTAAGATTGCGTATCTAAACTAACCAATTGGTAGTTGTCAATGGAGATTTTTACTAGTACTATTTGTTTTTATCTTTCTACATTATTCAAAAATTATTTTTGGATGGAATTGAATTGAAGGTAATGCAACAATGGGGAGTGGGGAACTGTGGAAATTAAATGAAACAAAAAGCGAGTGCCATTTTGAAGAAAGGGACGAAGATGAAAAAACCATAGCAAGTGCCATTTGCCTTGTGCAAGAAAAATTAAACACATGGACCACTAGGATGGATAAGGGTCTTGTGATCCCTGTGACCCTGTTTCTGAGTAGTCGCCTTACCATTCAAGCTTCTTCACATAGTAAGTACTACACACTAATAAATTTTGGTTGGTTTTCATGTCTTGGTTCGGTTTTTCACCCAATTGGCACCTGGCAATGTCACTCCCTAAGGACCACTTGCCAACGTTCTCAGACGAAAATTTGTTTGACCTAATTTAAACTTTCACAAGAAGTTATTCTTAGAAACCAATTTTAGCGGAACACATTGGGAAATAATAATTATCCCATGGAAAATAAGTAGCAATCTCAAGATATTACCAAAAAGGTGATATCAGGGAGGAAGGAAAATGGTGGAGGAGAGGATCAAGATTGCTACTCATCAGAGACCCAAAAAGGAAAAAAAAAAAAACAAAGCAGCAAAAAGTAATATGGTTTTTTCTGCATGGTATAAAGATTGCCCTTTATTGAAGAAGCCAGCGCATGGACTTCCCAATATGAGGAACCAAGAATATGAGGACCACCATGTAGGCCGCTCAACAATATGCAAGGAGGGAGGGAAAAGGTGGTCTGGACCATGTGGTTGTGGTCTGAACCTTATCAACTCTTTTCTGACACTATTAAGGCCTTAAAAGAATAATCTCGAGACTATTCAAATTAAAGTTCTCCATAAACCTTGGTTTGCAAATTGCAAAGGCATTGCAAAATCTAGAGTCCGGCTGTTCAACCAATAGTCAAGAATGAAGTTTACTCAGGAGATAAAATATTCAGCTCAGTCGGTCGGTGGATTTAATAGGAATTCATTCAAGTTTCATTTTTGTTCCACATTAGTGTTGCTACTCAAATTGTCAATTTTTAGACAGTTGGGAGATCAGGGCAGCAGGAACTCAAATAAACCTAATGTATTCTTAAAAAAAGACTAGTGTAATGAGCTTATGGGTCTACATATGTATTCCACTTATTCTCATCACAGTGAGATTCCACCTATCCAGCTACTAGCTAGTGAACCCAACACAGACAATAGAAAAGAATAATCAAAACCAAGAGTAATTTATAAATGTGCAAAGACAATACAAATTAAGTAATTAAATGTTTTTATTGCCATCTTGATTGTTGAATGTTATTCATAAAGATAATTAACATCTGATAGGGGAATTGTTGTTGCACTTTCTTTGGGTTCTTGGTTTTCTTTATCTTAATGAGAAAATGAACTGTGTGACTTATATTTAAAAATACTCTTTAAAATTTTCATTTTTGAAAGAAGTTTATAAAGTTTCAACCTTTAGATTGAGTTGAAAAATGTGTAATCTACAGAAGATTATATTTATTTTGAATTTTTAATCTATGATGAGATATTGATGGAAATTAAATTTTTATTTTGACATGCGAGTAAGATTGTTGTGGCAGTATAGTTCGTTAATAGGTTAATTTTAAAACGCAGGAGGTCTGCACTTGCTTAATATAGCTTTTGCTCAAGCATGTATGCGAACAAACAATTATTAGGGCATCTAAACATAAATCCAAATGGGAAAAACAGTTCCCCTTAGGACAAAACCTTTGCAATCAACCAATCAAATGGGTAAAATTTAAATGTCAAAGAAACACCCCTGTCAACAGGTAATAAGACAAGAAAAAGAAGAGACAATAGTCCATTGCTTCTCTAGCCATTGAAGACTCCATCATTGCATTTTCCATACTCAGTTATTCTATTGTATGTTTTACTAAAAAAATAGTTAATGTGCAAGATTTAATGTTCAAGATAGTTATACTAAATTAATTAACAGTATTCGAACCAAATAAAATATCTGTACAACTTACTTTAGTTAGTTTGAATATACCTTATTTTATTTCAGTAATTAAGTGTAAGCATTTTCTGTTTTCCAAGGGAAGCTGTTAGACCAAACAGCAGTTTTACATCCCAGACTAGAAGACCACTTGTATACAGAGCTATCAACACCTGGTCCTGCCTTCTAGGCCCAAATTGGTAGGTGAGCTTTTCCCCAGCTCTTACAGCTGGTTTCAATTCATCCTCCCTAGAAATCAAAAACTGTTCTCCACGTTCTAGGTCAGTTGGCAACCAACTGGTTTAGTGGAGGACACCAAACGAGGTTGAGCATTCTCGCCCTCAGCCTTACCCCATCTCCCTCCCCCTTAGCAAGTACATAGTTGTAATAATTGGCTAATTTCAAACAGAGAAAAAAAAAGTTGTAAACTGTCAGGGGGAAAAAACCCATATACACCATATAAACTTGATTGCTGATTTAACTTTGGAAAATTTCCGTTCTTTCATTATTTTATCTATTCACCTAAAAGCATGACGCAAAAAGAATCATACACATGAACAAGCAACAAAGAATAACCCAAAAACCAACAAGCAAACATGAAAGGATATGTTATGGCTTCCACAATGCATTC